ACGTTTTGTTTGGCCCAGAGTGCAGTTGGCAGGACAGAAGGAAGGAGCGGCTTCCTCCCTGCCTGGCCAGGCAGCTTTTAGCCACTCACAAACCACCAGGTGTTTCATCAGCCAGGAACAAAGGCCTATTGATTGCCACCAAGTTTCCCTATTCCCCTAACTCCTAGTGCAATGCAGAACAGCCAGCCTGGGATTCACAAGAAGCTCTTTTCCTGATTCTTGACATTTGAGGGCTGGAGATCCAGTGTGCGGTGTAGTGAGTCAGGCTACACGCTTGCCATGGCTTGCATTCCTTAAATTAGACCTACCAGCAAAGCAAGGTGCCAAAATCGGGTTTGGAATATGTTCTGTCTAAGTCTAAGCACTTTGAATCAATCGACAATACCCTGTTGTCCTAGAAAGGTCACTGGGGGAAAGGGAATACGAGCTGTCATGTTGCTGCTCTGTCCTGAGTTAGGCCTCAGCCTCACAACAGGGATGTGAGCATATTCACAGAAGAGGAGAAACATCAGCCACACAAATATTCCCCCTTTCTCCTGTTGTCCTGAGACAGAGAAAGAGCCTGTTCCCAGGGGAATTTGAAAATACCGCTCATATCCTGGTAGTTATTATTGGAAACACCAGCAGCCACTCAGTGTTCTACTTTTCCAAGAAAACATTTTGCTGATACCCTCATTGACATGAGCTAGCATTAAATGAAAGGGTAAAGATAAGACTGTACCCCTGGGAGCTGAATAATGATATAAGTAATGCAGCAGACTGAGGCTTCCCCGAGCTTTGCAGGTACTCCTGAGGGGTCTCTCTTCAGCCTACGGTACGAACCTGGCCATGCCTGCTACATGTGAGCAAGGTGTAAGGTCAACTGGACCAGGTAAATTGAAACTATCCTGTGTTAATGCAGCAACATAACTCTGTGTGACCTTCCGTAACTCCCTCAGCAACCCTCGGGGCTCCTGGTGAGCTGATGGTGCTTTGTGCAGACCAGGATTACTATGAAGGCCCACAGCCGGTGTCTGACGTCTCATAATCTTGTGCAGAGCTGCCATCTATTGCTCTGCAGCACAAAGAGCGCCAGTTGCTGGAAGTCAGTATATTTTCCAGCAAAACACGCCAGGAGTTATAGAGCAGGCTGGAGGAAGCGGCCGCTGCGAGCGCAGTGACCCCTCGGATCTGCCTCTTGTCCCTCAGCCGCCTCCCGTCCGAGCAGGGCGCAGGAGCAGAGCTCAGGGGCTCGCGCATATGCAGAACGAAAACAAAAGGAGGCGCTTGCGGCCCTGGCCCAGCCCTCCTGCCCTGGCTTTCCTCACAACGGGTAAAAACGGTCCCCACTCGGAGAAGGAAAGGTTCGCGGGCTGTAGGACCTAATGGTCTAACAGTTCTCGATTCCCCCTCTGAAGCAGCCCACCCTCGCAGGATTGCCGCTGCAGCTCCCTGCAGCTCCCTGCTCTGCCCAGAGCCTGCTGACACGGGCTGTTCTGCTGCCCTTTATCTGAAGAAGGAGCAGACAAGGATGAAACATTCACATTTTCTCACTGGGGGCTTTTCACCGCTGGGGACATTTGCACCTGGGGTCAGACTGAGTTTCACTTGTTACCCCCTGCCATGTCCCTGAGCCACAAAGGCAGGTGCTGCTCCCCATGGCCGCTGAGGCAGCACGGGGGGCACAGGACCCCCTTGGTGCTGCAAATGCCTCGGCCCAGAGCAGTGTCCTTCCCAGCACCTGAGGTGACATGCGGAGCAGCAGGGAGCACATGGACCCTGCGGGGCTGCTCGGTGCCCGGCGGGCTCCTGAAAGCCCCAACATTTAGCCAGGAGCCCGCAGAGACCCAGGGCAAGAGAACTCCCAGGAAAACCCGACATCCACAACCAGGATCTGAGAGCCTGCCTTTACAACAGCACCTCCCGCTTCCAATCCGAGGAAAAAGCACCCGAGGAAAGCAGAGCCCGTTCTAGTCTGCATCATGTCCAATGCAAATAAACAGTTCTCCAGCAAAGAAATTGGAAGCAGGTGAGAGTTTTCTTTTTTATTTCAAGTCGACCCAGGATTTAGTCACTTTTTTTCCCCTATTTTTATTTTTAAAAATGAAATTTTTTCCTACTGGGAAACATGCATCTTAATTAAGACAATAACAAAAATCTTAGTTTATAGATATGAACAAGTGGTGAAATTCAACCAAAACCTACATTAATGCACATTTTTAACATAACATTCCAAAAAGTGACTGCCTCCATGGCTTAAATCTGATAAAAAATACAAAAGGAATATGTAGCAGGTCAGGGAATTGTTATTGTAATTATTAAGATCTTACTTCAGTGTGGAAAACCTGATATAGAAAAAATACCCCAACAGCAGCTAATTTCCTCTTGAGGTTAGTTACAAAATCATTTAATCATTTCCATACAAAATGTTTCTGTGTCAAGGTAATAATTACGATGATGGTATTACTGCCATCAAGGGGGAACTTACTGCCTTCATATTAAATTGTTAATAGTTTTGTTATAATTAACAGAAAGGAATTAAGGTTTTTTTTAACAGCCTAGGTACTTAGCAGCTCTCCTAACTGGACTCAGCTAGAAAGGTTGCTTGACTTCTACCACCACAGTTACCACTGCACTTTAACATCTAACCAGGCACTTTATCTGGACCACAAGATTATTTGTTCCATCTGGACCACAAAATTACTGTGTGCAGTTCTGGGTCCCCAGTACAAGAGGAACATGGAGCTTCTAGAGAGGATCCAGCGAAGAGCATCAAAGATGATTAAGGGACTGGAGTATGAGGAAAGACTAGGCAAGATGGGCCTGTATAGCCTGGAGAAGAGAAGATTGAGAGGGGATCTGATCAATACAAATACTTGAGGGAGGAATGTAAAGAAATGGGGCCAAACTGTTCTTGGTGGTGGCCAGTGACAGTACGATGGGTAACGGGTACAAGTTGAAACCCAGGAAGTTCCATCTCCATGTGAGGAAGAACTTCTTTACTGTGAGGGTGACAGAGCCCTGGAACAGGCTGCCCAGAGAGGTTGTGGAGTCTCCTTTTCTGAAGATCTTCAAAATCCGCCTGGATGCCACCCTGTGCCACGTGCTCTGGGTGTCCCTGCTGGAGCAGGGGGATTGGACTAGATGAGCTCTAGAGGTCCCTTCCAGCCTCAACCATTCTGTGATTCTCTTGTTCCCCGGCAATTTATCAGCTATTTTTCTCTGGCCATGTCACTATGCCCTTAGCCGCTTGCTGTGCTGCTGTAGGAGTCAGTGCAGGTAACACGGCCAAGATGCAGGGCCAAGCGCTGCTCCAGGGTCCAGGGTAAATCCCAAATCCAGGGAACAGAGGAGAAACCAGGCAGCCCAGTCCCAGGTTCAGCCCCGAGTGCTGCATGGGATTAGTCTGAGCCAGTGCTTGGAACAGCCCTTGGTCCCTCCTGCTCCCTGCGTGTGTTTGGAGGAGGAGGAGGTGGCAGCCAGCGCTCCTGTAGGTGCAGGAGCCCTGTGGGGCTTGAACACTGTGGGGCGTCTGGGTTCTGGGGACCTGGCTGGTCTCCTGTGACAAAACTTGTGAGAAAAGAGGAATCACTTGCAACACGGTCAAGCTATTAGTTTGAGCCTTATGGTTGCAGTAAAGGGGACACTGCTGTGCTTGTAAGTACTAGAGAAGTAATGCGGACAGTACAGCAGACAGACCCTAGCTGAGCTGGTAGACCAGGAATCAGGATGCTGCAACCTGCAACACTCAGTTGATTGAAACTCCCTGGATTTCTAAAAAAATAAAATAAAAAAGTAAAAGTCCTTCACCAAAGTCCTTCAAGGAAACTATGGAGCTGCAGGATAAGAGAAGTTTATTGTGAGCAAATGATTGGCCAACAATTAGGAAACAGGTGACAAGGGTAAATGGAGGGAGGTCAGTGACAAGAGTTCGGGCAGGGGGCTGTGCTGCAGCCTGTGCTGTTTAACATGGTTTTAAGTGACCTTGGAAAGGGAGGAGGGAGCTTGTAAGCACAAGAGCAGGAGGAAGTAGCATTGTGGTCCCGTGCTAGCCTGATCCGGATGAGGCGCACGCCAGGGCCACAGCAGCTCGGGCAGCGCTGGGGGACGCGGCAGGACGCACACGCGAGGTCCGTTCTCTGTTGCGGGGAGGTTTCTCTCCTCGGGAGCCCTCTGTCTCCTAACCAAGAGCCCCCACGTGGCGCCTGGGCCAGGGGCTCTGCGGGAGGCCTGGCAGCACCAGCAGCTGCCCGCGTCGCCGCAGGGCACCAGGGCACGGCTCTACTTGGCACCAGGACGGCCGTGTCACGTCAGCACGAGGA